TATTATTTATAGTTTGAGTTATAATCTAATACTTATTAGATTATTGATTTTGTTGATTTTGTTGCTCAAATAGTTCCAGCTTTGGCCATTGGGAGCTCTTTCAGTTGGCTCCTGTGCTTGTTGACATATCCCGATCAATATGTCTGTTTTGAGCACTTCATTACTTTTTGGCCTATGAAATGCTCCAGGACCATCCTGTATATTCCCTTTGCCAGCCTAGAATGAGCCATTCCTCCAGGGAGCCTTTGTTCCTTTTATTGGAGAATGGTATTAGAAAACATGATCTAGATGCTGGGTGTGCTTATTGCTACTAAGGTGTCTTTGCTTTTAAGCCCTGTGCTGACAGAACAAGAAATATATGCATATACTGACCTGGGTGTATATACATATCTATAGATATTTCTATATTTAGCCATCTGTATCTATATTCAACTAAATGAGTTAGATCATACTGATGTATCCAACCCTACTCTATCAGTACCACATGAATAATTAACCTCCCCTCCTTGGCTTGTCTGTAACCTCCTGCCCCAACAGTGGGAAACCTGGCTCCCACCATTTCCCAGGATCAGCTTTTCATTTTGTGTCAATATCTCACATAAATTTATTTTTTTTAATTTAAAAGTAAATTAAATATCTAGATGAAAAACAAGTCAAGCTATTTAAAGTATTGATTATGCTTTTTCACACTACATTAGTTTTTTCTGTATTCAGATATCCCCATGAAGGGTCAATCTCCCAGCACCATCTTTAAAGTAATTAGCATCATTATCAGTATCAACAAATGGTTATTGGGCCCCTCTTATAGGACCCCACTAAGCTGGTTTATGTGGACAGCCTCCAGGAAAACTTTGACATGTTGTCCCATCACTAACATACAACAGGTTTATATGGCTGCCATATGTGTGCATATCTATATTCCTTTTTTTAGGGTTCATACCTTTTAGAATTGAGAATAATGTTTTATTGAAATTATTTTATGTAACACACTTTCTAGCACTTCAGATAAATGAATACATTTCAACTTCCAATTTTGTGGTTATTGGCATTAGCAAGAGAGAAAGAAAATTACGTGATGCATCTGTTGCACAGTAGGTGCTCAATTAATACTTATCACCATTTGGATATCTAATATTCATCTCAAACTCAACATGTGCAAAACTGAATTACTAACCTTTTCCTATAAAGTGTTTCCCACTCATAGTTTTTCCCATCTCAATTGATGGCAAGTCCATCATTCTAGAACATAAACTTCAGTGCTATCCTTGATTCCTGTTTCTGTCACACTGTACATCTAGTCTATCGGGAAACCCTGTTGACTCTCCCATCAAAATATAAGGCAGCTTCTTGTCTACTGTTACCTCTGTGGTCTGAGTCTCTATTCTCTCTGCCTATATTACTCAGTAAGCCTCTAACTGGTTTCTCTCTGTCTACTTTTGGCCCCCTGTAGTCTTGACAGCAAGAGTAATCCTGGAAAAATATGTCAGATCATGTTGTTTTTCTGCTCAAAAGCCTACAGTGGCTCTCCATTTTCTTAGAGTAGGAGCCAAAATATTTACACTAGCTTTCAAAATTCTTTGGTTTCTGATCTCCTTTCCCATGCCATTGCCTCCCTCTCTGACCTCATTTCCTACTACTCTTCCTCTCAAGCCTTCTACTTCAACCACATTGGCCCCAAACACTCAGGTATGATCTTGTCGCAGGGCTTGTGCACAACTGTTCTGATTGGAATGCTCTTCTCTGACATCTGGGTGGTCAACTCCTTCACCTCTTTTAAGTGTTTACTCGAAAATCACTTTCTCAGTGGAGCCTACTGTAACCGTGCTGCTTAATATTACAGCCTAACCTCTGCCCCCCACTCCCGGTCCCTCTTACCCTGCTCAGCTTGACTTTTTTCCCCTCATATTTCTCATCTTTTAACATAGAATATTATTTTTTCAGTTATGCTCATTGCTTATTGTGTGTCTCCCCTAGCTAGAATTTGAGTGGCACAAAGGCAGGGGTTTTTGTTTAGTTTTGTTCACTGATGTGTCCCAGGTGTTTAGAAGAAAAAAATACATATACATTGAATGAATAAATGCATTGTTTGAACTGTGTGCTTCCTGTACCCTCAAATTATTCTTAAATCTTAAAAAAATCAACGAAATAAAGGAAAACTTAATTTGATGAAAAGGTGTCAGGTAAGATATATGGACAAAAGGTATGCACAATCTAAAATAAGTTACTAGAAGCACTGAGCTTTAAATTCCTCATTTGTTAATGAGTTTAATTATGTTAAAAGATTGTTGTGCTTTTTTAAATGAAATGATGTGCATGAAAGCCCTCAATAACCATGAACTTCTCAGCTCTTAGCCTGTATAAAATAAGGCCTTAAAAGCAAGGTACAAGTGGTTACAATCCCTTAGTAGTAACTTATCCATTTCCTTTATGACGTCTTCTGAAGACCTTTTTCTCTTAAGTTTGAAATGGTGAAGAAACATTGAGAATAGGAAAAGAGCTCTGTAAATATGTTTAGAATGTTTAATAAAAATTATATTGTACCAATTTTTAATAGGAACACTGAGATCACAGTCACTGAAGATGATTTGTAAACTTAGAATGGACAACTTGAAAATTGTATTTATATTGGGCTGTTAAACAACTGCTTTTCTTAAGAACTGAATTCTGGCTCTACTACTGATTTAAAAAAATAATGTCGTCAAGTGCAGGACAGTTGTTTTGTAAATTTACATGGCTGAACATTCAGCACAAATGCAAGTTTTCCTTCCCTCCACTGTTTTTTCAAAGGTACTAGTAACCTCTGTAAAAAAAAAAAGAAAAGAGTTTGTGGGTTCCATGATGTATCCACTTAGTCCCTGGTACTATTTATTTTCTCTGAAATATTAGGAACTGGCTGAAAAGGCAAACATTATTGGCATGGCAAAATCCCAGGAGGCCAAGCACTGTAGGGAGTGCCATCTAGCAAGGTGGGGCAGCCGGAAGCTGACAGCATACCAAAAATGAACATATGATGGAATGGTCTTAAGTTTACCTATGGAGAATCAGCCTATGAAGGTTGATAATGACCTTTCACATTACCTTCAGGATTACTATGACTTTTCCTTTCACTCTTTACTTCCTCTCCATTTCTATTTCTGGTGTTAAACCTGGAATAAGAAAAAGAGAGTTTTTTTTTTTTTAAACCAGTTGCGATGAAAATAAAGTTAGGAGAGGTTAACTTCAGTTCACATAAGAAGGGTACTAAATTTCACCCAAGGTAGAGTGAAAGCATTGGATTTGAAATATCTACATTATTCTTGGGATATTTATATTACTTTTATCATACTTGAATCTTTATGAACAACATAAGACAGTCCTGTGTATCATATAGCTGGGTCCTATACAATGTTTGCTTCTCTGTAAGGCCACATATGAATTATTTGCATCAGGAAGACTTAAGTATCTTTATTGGTAATATATTATATAATGGCAAATTACTTAAGTTTGTATTTCAATTTTTAATTCAATGAACAGTGGTCAAAATGTTAAAACCAAGCAAATATCCAGTAAAATTCTTATCTCTAGAAGCAGATTATAGGATCTAATATCATACCCTTATTTCAGATGGCTGAGACACATTATTTACTTTTTTTCTTTTCTAGTCCTTTACTTTTAATTTTTGTCATGTTTTTGTCACAGTTTGTGTGATTGTTTGTCTTATCTTGGAAACAAAGAATCTGGGGAAAGGTTCAAGTCTTTTTACTGTGGGTTTTCCCAAACCTGAAGTTTCCTAGATATGAGTAATATAAAAATAAGCTGAAATCTGGTATACAAAGCCATATATTTATGCAGTATATCTGTGCATAATTTTATATGTGTAGATACAAATGTGTAAAAATTTATATGGTTTTCTATGTAAGTTTTTCATTCGATTGATAATATATATAATTGCAATGTAAAAAATAAATGATGTTTTTTCTTTTAAAGTGAGTAACTCTTGATCTCCTCCCTCCCCATGCTAGAGGTCTGTAAGTATCATCAATGCTACCCTGTGAACTTGTGTTTTGAACATTTAAATAATGTGGCAGCCCATTAGTCTCTATTACTTTAGAATATTATTTCCAGGCCCAGCTATTGGAAAGTCAGCTATTTTTTCATGATAAATAGTTGAATTGAAATAAAAAGGCAGAGTCCTTTCCCCTCCCTCAAGAAAGAGATTGCCAGAAATCAATATGTTCTATATTACTTATTCGTCATTGTCTATTAGTGTTTGGAGACTGCTATTCATATGTAGTATAATGTTCCAATATAATTTTTGGCATTATATACCATTAATTATTTTCTATGCAATAAACTGTTCTTTTTATGCCATAAAACAACTTTAGCCACTAAAGAAAATTGTTATACTTGAGGGAATTAATTCTGTTTCTGTGAGTAAAGTTATTAACAAACTTCCTCCTTCTTTATCGGAAGATTACACTAGGTTACCTTTCTCGCACTGCGTCACTGAAAACCTGATAAAAGTAAAAATGACCCCTGATTGGTGACCTGTCTTGAGACTGGGAGGAGTGTGGATGGATCATAAATACCTACTGGAAGCTATAGCTTTGGGCTTCCCTAAGTACAATGTACTTTTTATTACTGGGTATGTCTCTCCTTGTGGGGGACCCCCGGATACATGTTCATGGGATTGTTCCAGTCTGAACCAGTGTGGTTCCGGTACCATTTGTGTGGTCTTGTTGCTTAACACCTGACCTGTCTGTCGTAGGGGCTGGAGAATGGTGGCTGGACTCCTGCTGAAGAGACATGCTTGATGCTGGCCTGATAACATGCTGTGTTCCTGGCCTGCATCCTTCTGCACAGCTAGTTTGTGTCACATTTTGGCCTATTGAGTCTTGTTAGTTTGTTTGTCCTGCTGAACCCAAGACCACTGCTGCTGGTTGAGCAGGATAGGCCTTATACTATCATAAATATTTAATATGAAAAGTATAATAACAAGTAATTCTTCCTTTATTTTTCAGAAATGTGTTACAGACGAGTGTTTCTTTTTTGAACGACTGGAATCTAATAACTACAATACTTACCGGTCAAGGAAATACTCCGGTTGGTATGTGGCACTGAAACGAACTGGGCAGTATAAACTTGGATCCAAAACAGGACCTGGGCAGAAAGCTATACTTTTTCTTCCAATGTCTGCTAAGAGCTGATTTTAATGGTAGCAACTAATCTAATTTTGCGTGAAAGAAGTAGTATATTTTAGAAATTTGTTAACCAGAGAAAAAGAAAATAAATGTGTACAGCTCAGTTTGGACAACTTAGTCAGACAACTTTTTATCCAACAGTAAATATTTAACCATTGTCTCAGTAAAGAAAAACAACAAAAATTCTTGGAAAATGTGTAGACTTCTCTCCCCCTTTTATATATATAGCATCTACTGTTCTCCAGTGAAGCTTACCTAGAGCTGCAGTCTTTTTCATATGTTTGCTTTATTTGAAAAGAGGCTTTTAAAATGTGCACATTTACAAACAAATTTTATTCATGGAAATCATATACGTTAGAAAATTAGAGTCAAATATTTAGTTAATCAATCCCAAATGTTCACTACTTTTTATAATATGGCATACGTTAATCAACATGTATAATTTACTTTAAAAATGTTTTGAATTTGTAAATGTGAATTTAATCCATTCCTGGCATAGTTTTGTAATTTTCTGGCAGTTCCTTGTGATACAGCTTATAGAACAGGCCTGTGTAAACTGCTGGAAGTTCTTCCATGGTCAGATCAATCTTGTCAAACCCTTCTCTGTACCCGTATAGCAACAGTCTAGCAACTCTGCTGGTGATTGGAGTAGTATTTTCATCCTTGACCAGGTCATTGATATCCATCCACTCACATCTTAAGCATTCATGCTGGCAAAAATTTATGGTGAATGAATATGGCTTTAGGCGGCAGATGATATACATATCTGACTTCCCAAAAGCTCCGGGATTTCTGTGCTGTTGTCGAAAACTCAGGACGGACCTGAATTCTGATTTTATACCAGTCTCTTCAAAAACTTCTCGAACTGCCGTGTCACCTACATAAAAGGGAGAGGTACAAATCAATAAGGATCAAATTTTTAGAAACTATATTATCAAAGATTTTCAGTTAAAATAGCATTACATTCAAGATTTAAAAGCAAAACATTACCCCCAAGAAAGTAAAGTTTTCAATACAAACTCTTTGCCTTCTGGACATCCTGAAATACCAAAGTATTTTCTTACCACTGTATGTTTAAGAAGCTTTTGAAATAGTGAATATTTTTTTAGCTGCTACTTGGAGGCTTATCTACTTGTACATTTTTGAGGTCACCTCTTTTTAATTTCTCCCTGCTGTATTTAGCAAAAGGTAAAAACATAGATTGCAAAAGTTAAAACATACATTGCAAAGCTGCAGTTAGTATTCTAAAATATTTCTTCATTATTATCCTATTCCTGATCATCCATCAAAACTGCCGCCTCTTCCTTATAAAAGTCTGTTGAGCTGCAGAATGTATTGAACTATGAAATGATTCTAAACTCTCCTGGTGATCTTGGGTGGGACTCTCAAGCCTCCAGGTCAGCACAGATTCCTTTATAACCATTTTGTTAATTATGTTCCTCTGGTTATACTGTCAGTAAAACCCCACCAGAGTAATTTTTGACATTCCTTTGTTTCTTGAGATAAGATTCCAAAGAACTTGGATTCATTGCTTCAACATTAAATGCTGTGGTTGTTTAATAAGAACTTTTCAAAAACTTGCAATATATAGAATTTTATAGCGCAACAAAGGTTTTCACATTACAAGGGTGATTTTTCAATTAAATGAAATTTCCGTGGCAGGATTTTTATTGCCATTAAGATATTTTTGTGGCTTTTCCTAAACATCCAGATGGATCCCCTAAATGGTCTTTCTCTAATTTTATGATGCTCTATCATTGTTTCCCAAAGCATTTATGGGTAGCCCTTTAAAAAGTTGCCTTTCTTGACCCCTTTGCTGGGAAGCTGCACTGTTATCACAAAGATTTTTGTTCAAATACCCTTTAATGCCTCTATTGTTCTCGTTTGTCAAATAGCAAATGATATATGCCTGGTGAAAAATAGGCAAAGAAGAGGAAGTTGCAGCAATGTGTCTCAATTCTTGTGTGCTCTGACTATAGACTTTCTTATCAATCCCCTGGATAGGCCCTTGTTTTTTGTCTAAGAAACAACTATGGAAAGATGCAGAGCATTTTGAAATATAAGACATTTATCTGCCATTTTTCAATTACATGTTGACTTCCCTTATAATTTTTGCCCATAGGTTAAACATGGTTAGAAATTATATATATATATATATTTTTTTTTTTTTTTTTTTTTTTTTGAGACAGAGTCTCATTTTGTTGCCCAGGCTAGAGTGAGTGCCGTGGTGTCAGCCTAGCTCACAGCAACCTCACACTTCTGGGCTCAAGTGATCCTTCTGCCTCAGCCTCCAGAGTAGCTGGGACCACAGGCATGCACCACCATGCCCGGCTAATTTTTTCTATACATATTAGTTGGCCAGTTAATTTCTTTCTATTTATGGTAGAGACGGGGGTCTCGCTCTTGCTCAGGCTGGTTTCGAACTCCTGACCTCGAGCAATCTGCCCGCCTCAGCCTCCCAGAGTGCTAGGATTACAGGCGTGAGCCACCACGCCTGGCCTTAGAAATTATATTTTTAAACTGAACAGCTAAAAGAAGAATCCAGGTTAAGAAAAAAAAAATCCTTAATAATAACAATAAATTTTAATCTTGCTTAAATAAATGTTTGTTATTAAATTTATTATTAAAGATTATGGCACTAGTCTTAGATTTTATATAATTAATGTCCCCCTGTTGTTGAAATGTTTATTTTATTCTTTAAATGCTTTGAGAAATAATCATTGGGATCCTATTTAGCTCTTAGTACCACTAATAAGAAGTTCAGCATTCAGCTCATGGGGTCTAGGCTGTTTATATATCCTGCAAGCACCGGATGGGGCTTGTGAGCGAATCTGCCCTGCTCAGTAGTCACCATAGCAGTTGACCCGAAAGGGCCTGGGTAGTTCTGATCAGTTTAACTTGAATCAGCATATCATTGACTAGACTGAAAATTGAATGGGCAAATAAGTGCTTTTGTATCCAGGGTATGGGAGACCCCTTTTACATTAAGATGGAAATCTCCTCCCCAAGGATTTCAACATACATTTTTTTAACAAGATAAAGTGCTTTATTCTGTTGTACCTTTATTATTTTAATGTAATGTAAGCTGAACTGAAATAACATTTACTGTTTTATAGGTTTGAAAAACTAAGAGACTTTTGTTTTTATTTTTGCTCATCAAAGAGATATGTTTAAATATGTCATATGGTTTTGTTTAGTTACAGAACAACAATGAAATAGAGTTTATATTTGTTATTTCTATTTTGTAATATTTAATAATAGAGTTAGGTTGAAATAAAATATAATAGGAAAAATTTTGCAGAATGTAGGTTTCTCTGGTGTTTCCCTCTGGCTCTAGTGCACTGATGACCTCTGTCAGGCTCCACTGCTTTGCAGTTCGTTGGCTAAAACAGGAGATTCGCTTCTTGTCAGTGGTAATGAGATTTTTTTAGGAAGGCAGTTTGACCATTTTAGGGTACTATTTTATACTAAAGCCTTGAGGATTGCATTCTATTTTACATATGACCCTCTTACATTTTTTTAAACACTATAGATCAGAATGCTTCATTTACCTAGTATTTTCAGAGAATGAAGGATTTCAAACAAATGTGTTTCCCAGTTAACTAGTATTTACTATTTAAGAGCCAATATAAATGTTTAACCATTTGTGATGACAGTATCCCTAAAGTATATTACATACTTTCCTAAATACATGGTTTAGAAAATAATTTTAATAATCATCAATAATGATGATTTGGCTTCATCATTAAGAATATCCATTATTTTGTACTGTGTTACAAAACAGAAATGCCTTCATATAGACATAGTCTTTCAGACCTCTACTGTCAGTTATCATTTCTGGCTGCTTTAAAGGCTTTATTAATTCTAAGGCAAAGCTTTAATTTATATAATGCCTAGTACTTGTATGGTTAATGCCAATTACAGCTTTTTTTCTTAATTCCACATGACTGAGACATATTTATAGTATCTGGGTTGTCGTGGCAACCACAAATACTTAAAAAAAGTAATTAATTTTTAATTATCTAGACTTAAGGATCTAGAGTATACTTAAACATTTGGCTTGGAAATGTGTTTCTTCATTTACATCTTAAAATAAGTATAACTGAAATTCAGAGGTACCATAAAAGTTCAAATAAAAATGATCAATTCATTTGAAAAGGCAAGATTCAGAAGAGGAAGCTAAAGAAACATTCTGCTGACTGCTTTTGCCGAATATGGATTGGGTAAGGATGCAAAACCTGAGCTTAACTAGTTCATACACTCACATGTCACATATGAATAGCGTGAGATAATTAGGTTGTAGAACAAACAGTCTTCTCTTTCAGTACCTGCACCACTGCAAAATCATCTTTTATATCAACAGAAGACTTGCATAATCTACACAAAAGGTCAGTAAGTACCTAAAACCAAGATGCGCTATCTTAATGCAATCAATTTATTCATGAATTGTTAGGAGTTGGCTATAATAAATGTGTATAGGGCATTTTGATCTATTCAGCATTTAAAAAGTCAACTTTCAAGTACATGCACATTTTTAAATAAAATATTTAAAGATATTTTAGCAAATTGCCTTAATAAAATTGTTGGGTAAAGAGAATAGGGGACATGTGTATTAAGGAAAAGGTCATGGAGAAATAATACTGGTATCAAATTAATTACCTATTGATTTATTATGGAAATTGAATTTGATCCAGTGGTTTAAGGAATGGGTAGAAAACTTTAGTTTCCATTTTTCTATTTCCTGTAAATCAGTGACATAAAGAATTCTTAGCTTATTTCATATTTCTCTGTTTTAAATATTAAACTAAGTTAGTTGTGTTAGGGGGTTATTTCTCATTTGAGACTTTCTCATATATATTACTTTGTTTTGGCCTCCTATTTAAAATAAATAGATAACATTTTCATAAAGAAAATATTTACATCACCACAATTGTATAACTGATTTTATTATACTTATTTCAAAGTTCATTTAAAAGTTATTCTTGATCTTTCTGTGATGGAATGGTCAAGAATTCAATTCCAGCAATTTTAGTCATATCCAAAATAACCTTTAATACTAAACTTTACTAATGTATATCCAAAGCTTCTCCTTTTGAGACAAATTAATCTAGAATCATTCATAAACAGAAGACTAGGTGGTATGCTCCTAATGATATTATTTACACTAATGGAATAAGTTATAATATTAGAAACTTTTCTGTTAATTTTATATCAGTCCTGATGATATAAAATTTCTCTGAAATTTTCTGACTTAGTCGGAACAAATTACAAAATTTAAATTCAGATTCCTAGCTATAAAGCAAGAAAGTAAACACATGAATTTCTTCAACATTTCCAAGCCAATTAAAAACACATAAGATACTCACCAATATCTTCTCCAGGCTCTGACAGGCCTCCTGGAAACTTCCACATATTTTTCAACTGCAGTATATTGTTAGAAAATAAAGTTAACATTTATTCACTAACATGCATGCATACACACACACACACACACACACACACACACACGAGACTCTACAAAATCCATCCATAATTGGTCAGGGTGGTTCAGAATTTATTTTTGGTAATTGCATGTAATTTTTTTTAGCTGCCTTCCCCCTCCTTCCTTTCTTCTTTTTTGAGGGAGCTGGTGACTGATGAAGTCTTTTCCCACCTTTTTCTTCAGGAAATAGAAGTAGTTTGCTTTGGTTAATGTGATAAATTCTATATGAATGAAATATTGGAGGGAAACATCTACTGAATTTCTGTAATTTAAAAAATTTCGCTGCTAGTTAACTATGAACAAATAAATAGGAGAATCTTACAAATGCTGCTATAAATAAGTAGATAATACAGTATAAATGTAATCACTAAAGAGTGCTGTTTTTAATTTTCACATCTATTTCCTGTATTGTGTTTTTAATCAGATATATTACTCTTAAGTTTTTATTATATGTATTAATGATTTTATGTAAAAATGTAATTGCTTTTCATGGGTAGTGTGAATAAAATTGATTAGTTTGTGTTTAACTGTCTATCATTTCTTTGTGTTTTCTTGTCTATTTCTTTTTTTTTTTTGGTGGTGAGGGCCAGGTGGGAAGAACTGATCTTGGAATAGGGATAAATATAGAAAAAAACAGATTAAAAATAACTATTAGATGACATGGGTAATATTCTTATGGCTGGCATTATTTTTTTCTTGTTTGAGTTCTGTTATATCCATCACCATGATAAAAGCTGAAGAATGATTGAGAAATTATAACATACTCATAAGAGAGCTGTACTTTTGGCCAGTACACCTTATACTCTTCATTCATAAAACAAATTGTGGACCTTTTATTGGTGTGTTTTGTGACCCACTCATTTCCTGGATGAATGCTTCTTAAAGAATGTGTCACTTCTCAGCTATGCTAGGTTGGAGACAAATGGCATGGTTCCCAGAGTTTCTGAAGGCTGTTCATTATGTGGGTACAGAATTCAGGCTTTCCACTCTTCCACATCTGGCTTAGGTTTAACATTAATTTATAAAGCATATTATGATTTATTTTATTAACGTGGAAATATATCTCTATATCAATGCACTATCTTTTGGGTTCCAGTTTGAAATAGTTTCAGAAACTGTTGCTACAAAAACTAGGCAGTCTTTTGTTGATAAATGTTGGACTTCACCACCATAAATTCTAAAAAAAGAAATGTTATAATGGGGTAGACAAATGCTTCCTAAAAACAATAAAAGTCAACTTTAAAAATATTTACCTAGACTTAACTATAAATGATTAGAGATTAACTCTTTATATAATTTGGAAATCTGAACTTACTAGAAAGAGTGAAATGCTAGATATAAGGATTGAAAACAACCCAAAACAAATTTGATTTTGATTATTTCATAAATTAAAACATATGGAAAGAGTAGATATACTTTAATGCTAATAAAGTCGTTTGTGACATTTTCTGGCTCCATTAGGTTCAAAGAGTTTATTTTTAAAAAGCTTAAGACTGAGTTCTAAGAGGGAGTTAGAGAGGCCTAAGTTATGTGGATTAAAAAACCTGGTTAATGTTCTAGATATGATCAATAGTGAGATGAGCATGTCTTCCCACTATTTATATTAAAATATAATCCCATTAACTGGGTTTAGCAGTATGATAGTAATATTAAGATGCTTGCTAAATATACACTGAATGCCTTCTATGTTCCAGACACTATGCTAAATATTTTTATTAAAGTTTACATACATTTAAACTTGACAATAATCCCATGAAAGACTATTATTGTTCCCATTTTAGAGGTGATGAAACTGAGGGCATAAAAATGCTTAATAATTTGCCTGGGGTCACACAGCCAGTGTGTGATAAACTCAGGGTTAAAATCCAGGCCAGGGTGATTCTAACCCTCTTTTAAGAAATTTAAAAAGTTGATTTGATATTTTTTCACTAATCTTTAACTACTGTCACTCTTTTTTCATATACTTTTTGATCTTTTCCTCAGACTCAATGGGAACATTCTATGTAAATCCAATCAGAATCCATATTTTAGACTTAACACTCCTTTGGAGTTTGTGAATTTGGAATAAAATTTAGTGTCAAACATCCTTATATCTATCTACCTGTTGCCTGTGAGTTTCCCATCTAGAATCTTCTGATTGGCATGAGATTTATTTCCTAGCCAGTAATTTATCATTATTCTATCTTTCCAATATATTGTTTCATGAGAAAAATATTACTGAGAATGGGTTTTGAAAATTCAGCCTTTTTGAGTTTGTGTTTTTTGTCTTTGTTCTCCCTTCCTATAAAAAAAGACAAAATTATCTCTGCTTCAAGTGTAAAATTCCATGATCTATTTTTTCCCCTAATCTTAAAAAAGGAACTTTCCACTCTCTTCTAAAAGAAATATTCTTAAATGTTCTTATGCCTGGTTACTTTGTTGGGTAATACTCAATGTTCACATACATGACCCCTCCCTGCTTTGAGTTCATGAGGTCATTTAGTTCCTTAAGCATATCTGATTTTTACATATATAAGGTAAAGGATCCTTTTAACTTATAAAAATATGTGATTTTAAACAATATTTAGAGTAGTTCCATCATATTTCAGAATGGTGAATGGGTTGACAAATTTTCTTATACATTTGCAAATTATAAATTTGTGTGTGTGTGTGTGTGTGTATGTGTGTGTGTGTGTAAGTAAATGGAAAATAGAAGACCATGTGGATGATATAATGATGGTCTCATCTATTACTCTGCAATCCTTCCCCAGTGGTAGGAATTGCTAACCTAAGAAATAGGTATTTTGCGTAACAACAAAGGGTACATTTTTGAATGCATTTTTCAGAGATACTAACAGAATTAGGATACCTGTTCTGTTAAAGTAATTTCAAGTTTAATGGCACTATTTCTTTTAAAACTTGTCTTGAAGATTAATTCAAGTTTATTTTAGGGCTTCTAGGTGGGTGAAAAGGAATGAATCATTTTCTGATCCTTTTCCTTACTATTTTCCCAGCTCCACAGACAGCCTGTGTTCTCCTAAGCAGAGGATTCATTTTAGAACCTTCCCTGGGCATGAGTACTGAAATCCTGACTGGAAGTTGTATGACACAACCCCCAAAAGACTACTAATTTCTTTCAACAATATCTCAAGAATCTAGAACAAGGGGACAGACCTGCTAAGCCTCTTCCACTTGGTTCTCTTATATTATGTGAATTTCTTGTTCTGCCTTTACTCCAACTTGGTCAGATGCTAGAAATTTGCTTATCTCTTATTTTCATTGTTCTAGTCTTTAATGCTACTATCACTTTTTAGAATTCAGACCTACTGTATTTAGATAAATCTTACTAACTACAATATTATCACTGTTACCAATGAGATAGACGCTATCAGAGTGTCTCATAGGTTTATTCATTCATTCAACAAATATTTATTGAGTACAAGTTATGAGCCATACAGAAATTAATACATAATATAGCAAACCCGGTCATTTTCTTTATCCCTGCACCATGTATTATTCTTAATAATGATTATCCCACCTTATGTATTATTTATTCATTTTATTATTTCTATCATACACATTTGAATACAAGCTCCAAATGTAGAAACTTTGTTCACTGATATATGCCTAGTGCTTAGAACAGGGTATATAGCCTTTTTGGTTTAAATAATATCTAAGTGATCCACAGCTACTTAACCAACTTCAAAAATATCTTTCTATAACTCCTTAGGCATATTAAAATTTCTACATTTTATTTTTCTCTATAAACTGAACATTTGGAAAGCAATTTATAAAGCAGAGCAACTTACTTTATTTCGATCTTGTACAACCAATATTTTTCTAGTATTTTCATCAAACACAGCTCCTGATGGGGAAAAAATAAAAGATAATTGAGAAATATTGATTCCATTCATCCTAGACTCCTCCCACACTCTTTATCTGTGGTCCTCAAAATCATACCTATACTTGAAGCCTCGTTCAAATATAGGCTGAGCATTCCTTATCCAAAATGCTTGGGACCAGAAGCATTTTGGACTTTTTTTGGATTTGGGAAAATTTGCATATACATAATGAGATACCTTGCGGGATAGGACCAAGTCTAAACATGAAATTCATTTCTGCTTTATATATACCTTATACACATAGCCTAGAGGTAATTTGATATATTTTTTAATAATTTTGTGCATAAAAGTTTTGACTGGAGGGGGGAGGGAGGCATGGGCAATATACGTAACCTTAACACTTGTACCCCCATAATACGCTAAAATAAAAAAAAGTTTTGACTGCATTTTGACAGTGACTCATCCCATGAGGTCAAGCATAAAATTTTTCACTTGTGTTATGTTTGCACTCAAAGTTTCAGATTTTGGAGCATTTTGCATTTTGTATTTTCAGATTAGGGATGCTCAGCCCATACCACCTCATCAATGAAGACTTGTAAAATCTCTCCAGCAAGAAAATGATTGCTCAGTTGTCCAAGTTATTTTAAAAATTTAGAGTACCTACCAATGATGGTTCTAGCATTTGCTAACTTCCTCTGCATAAACTTCTCTAGATTATCTATTCCTGATGACACACAATTAAATAATTTTTTTATACTTTTATAGTATTTGCTTTATTGTTCAGACAATTCTAAGTACTTGTCTTAGTCCATTTGGGTTGCTATAACAAAATTCCAAGGACTGGGTAGTTTATAAACAATAAACATTTTATTTCTCACAGTTCTAGAGGCTGGGAAGTCCAAGATCAAGGTGCCAGCAGATTTGGTGTCTGGTGAGAGCCTATTCCTCATTGATGTCGCCTTCTAGCTGTATCCTCACACAGTGGAAGGAGCAAACTAGCTCCCCTGGGCTTCTTTCATAAAAATGCTAATCCCATTGATATAAACTCTGCCTTCAAGACCTAGTCACATTGCAAAGGCCCCACCTCTTAATACAATCACACTGAGGATTAGATTTCAACATATGAATTTTGGGGAGACACACTAAACATTCAGACCATAGCAGTACTTAAAAATATTTATTGAATAAATGAATTGACATCTTCATGTTTATTTTTATTCCTTGAATCACTATACATAGAACACAGTCTGCACCCCCTGACAATCCAAACCCCAAATATCTCAATATTCAGTTTAAGACTTCCCTGAAGCCAATTTACATTTCCTTGCCGTGTATGTACACAACTTTATAACCTACTAATATATTGCTTTGGAATACTTCTTTATTTCACATGTTTTAAATTCTAGTTCATTTATTTCATTTATTCATTCATGATACACATTGAGTATTCTCTCTCTTTAAAAATATTTCCCTTTGGGCAATCCTGGGTCAAAAATACAAATGACACTTTAATGATTTATATTAGGTTCCTTTAGATGCCATAACTTAAACATAATTTGTATTACATAATATGAGAAGATATTTTTAGAAAGGCATTTTCTACATATCTATCCATGTTTTCAGTATTAATTGAGTTCCTTATATAATTTTTTATATATATATATATGTCTTATATCTATTAGTTGAGCTCCTATCTTGTTGCAGGCATTTTTCTAGGTGCTGGGGATATAGTGGTGAACAAAAGAAACAAAACTCCGTATCCTTTCAGGGCTCACATTCTGGTATGTGTGTGGAGAGGTGCCAAAATAAATTATATAGAATCACACTAGAAGGTGATAAATGCTAATTTATCTAATAAGCTAATTGGACTTTACAAGGAATACAATGCCAAGGAAACCTTAACTTTTAATAATTTGTGATTACTCAAATTGAGTAATGACAATTCCCTAATAAATTCACTATAAACATGAGCACCATAACAGAAAGGCAAAATCGGCACAGCTAAAGCACAATTTGTGCGACCCCTGCTGGTCACAACATGAAAGTTAAGTAAATCCAAGGGTACCAGGCATTAAATAGAGGTTGTTATATTATTATGATTAGTCAGGAACTGTGCTAAGTGCTTTATGTACGTTATCTCAGGTATAAATCACAATAATTCTGAGTAATATCATTATGAGTGCCTAAGTTCACACAGGTCTACAAGGGACTGACAGCCAGTGTGTCTGTATTCTAAATAGGCACTCTTATCATTGTGCAACACTGCCCCATCGTGATGCTACAACTGCTCTCTCAGAGAGCTGCCATTTCCATCCGACCATTCATTCAAGAAATATTGACTATCTACTTTATATTAGATACTGTGTTTAGCCTGAGGATATAGTGGTGAACAAGACAGATAAAATATCTGCCTTCATGGAGTTTATATTTTCATGGAGGAGATTAAGCACATACTGTAATTTCAGACTGTGATAAATGCTATAAAGAAAAATTAAACTGGATAAAGGGATATAGAATGTTGAGATTGGTGTGTGTGTCGTGTCGGGGGACTCCATTTTAGACAGGAGGGTCAGGAGCTTTTCTGAGAAGGAGACACTTGGGCAGAAACCTCCAGCTATAAAGAACTAAATAAAGCGCTGGGGAAGCACATGGCAGGAAAGGAAGCCAGTAGGTGTAAAAGCTCTGGGTCAGAAAAAAGCTTGCTAGGTTTGAAGAAAGTAAGAAAGCCATAGCTCACTCTGTTCCAACTATACCTGCCTTCTGTTGTTTATAACAACAAATGGCATCTATTTTCTCTCCACCTTAAAAAAACTCTGCACCTTTCCAGAACAATTTTTTGCATTACCTCATCCCCATTCCCAAGAACCCCTTCAAATCCTATTAATTGTTATTCTTCAAGACTGGTCAAGTTCCACATTTCCCATTCCCTGAACTCCTGTGATACTACTAAACTATAATGCATAACGTAGTATTATACTTAGTTATAAATGGGTCCTTCACAGGCCACTCCATACACATATTACCAATTTTGTAGTAATAACTGCAAACTCTAATTTAAAAGTCTATGCCAATGAATAATAATTACTTGTATGACTTCCCCATGAAGTCTGAGGCTATCACCACATTACTGAGTAGAATCTTTTTAAGTAGAGTTGAATGGAAAGTTTCTGAATGTTTCTACTTACTACAGAGCAGTAAGACCATGGAGAGAGAAGACATTCTTAGACATCCTTGAACAATTCCTTTAAAAGATTTCAAATGTGAAAACGACCTTAAAAACTCTTGTAAATTATATAAATGCAAATAAAATTATTAATTTATAATGTGTATTATTGCTTTCATTTAGTAAGGTCATAAGGATTCCTTACTATTTTAGTTTTTGTGGAAATCTAAGAATTTCCTTAATCCTAATTCTTTAGAGGTGGTACTGAGACCAGCTGCAGCAGCAACAGCAGCAGCAGCAAAAGCAGAAACAGCCAGAGAAATTGTACAAATTTTCGGGCCCCACCCCAGACCTAGTGAATCATAAACTCTGGGGATTGGTCTCAGCATTCTGTTTTAACAAGCCCTCCAGGTGATTTTGATGCAATCTATAATTTGAGAACCCCTGTCCTTAATCTGAAGATTAAGATTAATCTCTTACTATGTCTTCTCTCAATTTTCCTATGTCTCAGAAGCTAATCAGTAACTTCAAAATTCCACTATATATTTAAATTATGCTATTTTAAACAACTATTTGGCACAATAACGTAATGTAAATGTCTTTAAGAAGTAATGTTCAAATCATTGAAAATTTTTGTTTGCTTTACTTTAAATTCAATATAAAGCTATCTTTCTCTTTACAAATTCATATAATTTGTGCTAATATGTTTTACTATAATAAATTTATTTCCTGATCCCAATTCAGTGCTACTATTTGAGTAGCGAAGTTTAATTATCTGTGTAAAACATGTTCAAGCACATCTGCTGGAAAACTAAACTCGTTCTCTGTGCTGCCATCTGCTGATTCATAAGGCAAACTTCATCAATTTAAAGGAACCATACAAATAAATAAATAAATAAAATAAACATACTATGTAATAGTCCCAAGGAAGATAGAGTAGTGCCTCTCATGTGTGGTTTCATGTTCTGTGGTTTCAGTAACCTGAGGTTAAGCATGGTATGAAAATGTTGCATTACCGCTCTTGTAGTTTGGGGCCGTTATTAAGTAAAATAAGGGTTATTTGAATGCAAGCACTATGGTACCATGACAGTCTATCTGATAACGAGAGAGCTATTAAGTGACTAACAGGTGGGTAGCATATACATTATGAACGTGCTGGACAAAGAGATGATTCACATCTCAGGCAGGACAGAGCAGGAGAGGGAGATTTCATCATGCTACTCAGAGGTGTGCAATTTAAAACTTGTGAATTGTTTTTTTCTGAAATTTTCCATTTACATTATAATGCCTATATCATTGACCTCACTTCATCTCATCATGCAGGCATTTTATCACCTTGCATCACAAGAAGGATAAATATAGCACAATAAAATATTTTTAGAGAGAATACGTTCATATAACTTTTATTACAGTATATTTTTATAAATTGTTTTATTTTATTAGTTACTGTTCATTTCTTACTGTGCCTAATATAAATTAAACTTTATCATAGGTATACGTATGTATGGGAATAAACATGGTGTGTATAGGGTTTGGTACTATCTGCAGTTTTGATATCCACTGGGGGTCTTGGAACACGTCCCCTGTGGATAAGGGGGAACTACTGTTATCATTTAATCCAGTACCTCATTCCAGATAAATAAACCTTCTACTCAGCTGTGAGAACCAAGAAACTGGGTGAGCCTCTAAAAATGCTTGTTGTCATGAGTTTGAAACTGACCTGCAACTCCTACTTGATGGGTAGCATATCCTGGTAATCTGCTGGGCCCTTCTCCCAGCCACAGAGTCATCGTTGAAGAATCCGATTCTGCATGGTGAAAGCAGAAGCCCAGGGAAGCGGCAGGGGCAATAAACCGGCTCTGGAGGATGGGAATGTGCAGCCATACAGCTATTCTACCTTCTGATCTCCATTGCTGTATTGCAGCTAAAGTAGGAGATAAAAGTCTATAAATATTTCCCAGTGATACAAGTGGAATAAATTAAAACTCACCTCGTGGTGTCACCTTGTGGTCCAGGAAGCCATCTTTAAGCATGTTAGCTGTCTGGAAAGGGATTCCCAAATGTTTATATTACCAGCATAGGAACTACCACGTTTTACTGTAATTACCACCTTGTTTATATGATTTTTTCCATCAGACTAAATTTCTTGAGAATAAAGTCAGTATAGTGCTGACTTTATATCCATATCATCTAGGATAATGCTTGTCACATAATACGTGTTCAATAGGTGTAGAATGGACAAATAAACTGATTTAAACAAAACAAACAGAATGCTGTTCCTTTTCACATCCTTAAGTTTAATCTTAATAAATGTCTATCATGGACTTGTTTCCCTTTAAGAGATCTCTCATAATTTTTTTATTTATAAATTTCAAGGTGGTTAAAATATAAGTAATTCTTTTAAATTAATGTATGCTAGCTCTAGAAATTTTGAAAATAAAGAAAAATATAATGAAGAAATCAAAACCTACATAGATAAATTTAAAATTTTGGTATTTTCCCATAATTTTTTGAATTAACATTATACCATATATGTCATATGTCTTTCACTACATATTGTATTTTAAATATTTTGCTATGTCATTGAAATTCTTTTAATGAATATGAATGTCTAACGACTGCATAGTTTCTCTCAAATAGGTATTTGATAGGCTACTTAACCAATCTTTTACACTTGAACATTTAGATTGTTTCCAGTTTTTCTTTATTATAAATAATATGATGAACATAATGACAGGTTTTCTGTCTTTGACTTCTTTAAATTTGCCTATTTCATTACTTAAGATAAAGCCAGGGGGAAAAGATGCTAACATTTGAACCTTATGAAGTTCCAGAGATGCTTTATATACATTATCTCATTAAGTGCTCACAACCTTGAAAGACAGTTATTATTACCTTAAATTTATGGGTAAAGAAATGAATATGTCACAGTTTTAGAGAGTTTTTAGAACAACTTTTCAGATCAATTTCTTCAACAATCATCTCAATCATAACAACCCTGTGAAGCGTGTGTATGCACACACGTATTTGGAGGCTTATTTATCTATTTAATTAGATTATTTCCTTTTCTTTCTCCCTCAGCTCTGCAGTCAGACCCTGCCTGTTAAGGACCACACTTTCTGCCTCTTTGAAAGACGCTGTGCCTAGCACAATGACAGGAACATGGGGCCTTTAATAAAGACTTGTTGATTTGACTTAGCCTGCAGTGGGGCTATGGATCAGATCCTTCTCACATTGCTCTCTTTCTCTGATTAAATCTTTTTGTTAATAAACTTGAGGCATGATTACATAAAGTGAAATGCATAAATCTTAAGCATATGTTTGATGAGTTTTCACATATGCTTAGCCCCCTAACTCACACTTTGATTAAGCTTATAAAACATTTCTATCACCCCACAGAATTCCCATGTGTTCCTTCCCTGACAATCCTTTCCATCAAACAAAAAAGATGAAGTTTCTTTCCAAAGGCATTATTAGTTGCTGCTGTTTCATATCTTTACGCTCTTTGCCTTGGAGACTCCATCCATTCTTACTGCTTCAACTAACACCTACATCAGGATGACTGCCCAGTCCTGACCTCAGGGAAAGTCAGTCAGACATTTCCTGAAGGTTGCCACTTCAAACTTCACAAAGTATGCTCAAAACTGAATCCTATAGCCCATATTAACTTCACTTACAAGCTTATTTATTGAATCTGTGCTTGCCAGCTTAGAATTCTTAATTCCTTTTCCTTTTTCTCTAATAAACATTATTGCTTTTTCCTCCCCAACCTCCCATATTCATCCTTCAAAGTACAGCTCATATACTTTATCTTTGACAAAAATCTTTCCTAACCACTGCTCATGAGATCTCCATTATGTAAACTTAGGATTACTATTTCTGCATTACCTAATGATATCTCTTCTGTTATTCATTTTTTAAATCATATTTAATACTCTATGTACTTGCAATCCTCCAGGTTAAATATATATATTATATGTATATATTGTATATATATTTATATATATATATTTTTTTGAGACAAGATCTGTTACCTAGGCTGGAGTGTGTTGGTGCCATCACAGCTTACTAAGGTCTCAAACTCCTGAGCTCAAGTGATCCTCCTGACTCGGCCTCCTGAGTAGCTGGGATAACAGGTGCCACCACCACGCAGGCTGGTTAACCTGATATTATGCACTGGGGCTCAATTTATATTTATTAAATGATTGGCTTGCCTAAAGTCACATAGCTAATAAGTGGCACAGCAAGGACCAGAACCAGAGCTATTTCACCACTATTACAGATATACTGTATGTGAAACTGACAACCTATTGCCTGCTTATCCATCTAACTTGGAGGTTGTCAATAACAAACAGGAACCCTAAAAGAATAGTGCACTAAAAGAATAGTGGACACATAAAACTATTGCTAATACATTATACACAATCAATTTCCTTGAATAGAGAGTTCCTATCAGGCTTTCTTCTCAGATTTTGGTTCTGTTTATAGGCACTACCATTTTGGTTAGTTTTATTTGACTCTGTCACAACAGTAATAATAGCACTAGCTCTTAGAGGCAGCATAGTGCAGTGAGTAAGAACAGATCTAGAGCCAGGGGAAGTTACTCTATTCTCTCTGTGCTTCAGAACTGTTATCTTTAAAATGAGCATAATAATAGTTATCTACCTCACAGGGTTGTTATGAGGATTAAATGAATTAACATTTGTAAAGGTCCTAAAACAGTGTCTGGCACTTAGTAAGTGCAACTGAATTTTTTTTATTAAAAAATATAAAAGTTTATGGTACTTCATCATTTACAAATTAGTTTCATCTTTCATCACATCTATCCAGTAATTAGGGTTGACATTAATTCACATAAAACAACCTAAGTGGCAAATATTTTTAGTGGCAATTCACCTAATGCCTGGCCACATGTGGCAGAACCTGGGAGAACCCTGGATGTGTGCCTCCAAATCCAACTGTGCTTTCTGTTTTGCCATGCTGACTGTGGGAGTGCTTTGATCACCTGTTGGGTCGCTGACAAGTATCAGTGTGCAATAAATACCTGTATCTGCCCACATGTATCTACCTACATATATCAGAAGATAAATTGATTCTCTTACTGATGCTTTGTTGGAAACTAAGTGGGCTTGCCAGCAATTATTCACAGATAGCTAAGAGTTTGGGAATGAGGATTATTAATAAAATAGCTCCATTATGTTTACAGATTTGCTTGCTGGGCACATTGCTTGATACGATAAAGATTATTTGAAGTTTCTTGTTAGTGTGAGAGGATCTTTCTATAACTGAATTTCCATGCCATGTACTCAATTAGATTATAAGGCTCTCAAAGACAGTTTGAAAAACAGGCTGCTCCACCAGATCACAGATTTCTCCCAAACTGAAGGCTCCTCCTTCCAAGCTTTTTTTCTCATCACTGGGCTCAAGGTTCAAAGCCAGTGGAGAGTTTTCTTATTGACTTGACGATTGAAGCCACCCACCACGTGGCCTCCCTGGTTAATCATAAGACCAGTTGCTCTATGAGCCGAAGCAAACTTCGGCTCTTGCCCCAACAGCTCCTGATGCGATTTGTGTATTAATGTGACCACTAAGAACCTCTCTGGTCCAGTGATGATGGTCCGCCACCTGCATTAGAAAGACAGTTTTGCCTTGGGCAAAGTGCCCGGCAGTACCTAGGCTCAGTAAAGGATAGTAAGTAATAACACAATAATATCAACAAACATCTACTGAGCGTCAAATATGTGACAGACACCGTGCTATGCACTTTATACGCATTATCCAAATTAACCGTCAGCAATCCCATGAGTTCCTATTGCCCAGGTTTATGGATGATGAAATGGCGGTTCACAGAACTTGCCCAGCATCATACATTTGTGACTAAAGAGTGGGCTAGAAACCAGCACTGAAGATCCAAAAACCATTTCACCCAAGCACCTCAGAGACCCCCAGAAAAGGGCGGAAGAACTCATGGGAGAAAACGGTCCGAGTCAGGCGTACCCTCGCCCTTTCCCTCGGGGCTCAGCACTTCACTGGTGCGCGCAGCGACTCGGGGTGGGGCGGCGGTTATTTCATTAGACAGGCTCAGGAGCCCGGAGCCTTTCTCCCCAGGCGCACTTGCCCTGCAAGCCCTTCAGGAAGGCGGCGGCGTCCAGGCGATCCAGCGCGCCGAGCCGCGCCAGGCGCACTGAGACGCCCCCGAATCTGTCCAGCTCTCCCCGCAGCTCGCACGCTCCGACTGGGGGTTCCTGCGCGCAACCCGGTCCGCCCGAGGCCCCGCGGTACCCCGCCGAAAGCCTGCGGTGGCAGGCCCGGGCCAGCACCGAACGCCAGCAGCCCCCGATCAGCAGCGGCGACATCGCCTCCCCTGCTTATCCGCTGCGCCTCCAAGTCACCTCTCCTCCACGCTCCCGTAAATTTTAGAAGAGTGCCACTTCTCAGTTGAACAGGGGTTACTATGTCGTAGAGTGCTGCCCGCCAGCCTCTCTCACCGATTTGCCCAGCTCCTGTTAAGCGGAGCCACTTATTTTGTTAGCTAGTTTTGTGTTGATTTGTTTTTTGGAGACAAGGTCTCGCTCTGTCGCCCAGGCTGGAGGGCAATGGCCTGATCATGGCTCACTTGCAGCCTCAAACTCCTGGGGTCAAACGATCTTCCCTCCTCAGCCTCCCAAACTGCTAGGATTGCAGGTTTGACCCACCACGCCCGTCCTGTTAATTAATTCAACAGGTGTTTGCTTAGGGATGGCAAGGTGGGCGGAGATGCAAAAAAAGTAATGGTTTTTTTTTTTTAATTTATAATTTCAATGACAATTCTGTTCACCGAACTCGTCTCCCTTTGCAGATGTCAGAACCTCTGCAACCGCTTTAAAGACCCGGGTTTCTAAAGACGCTCCCCGCAACCCGCCAGCCCTGTACAGCTCGCCCGTCAGCCCGCCCTCCAGTCCTGCCGCCGTGCTGCGCTCCACTCGGGAGATTACGGCGCGTAGGCGGAACCTCGCTGACTTCTGCCCCGGAAGTTTTTGGTGAAGCGCGCACGTTGAGCTGGCTTCGCCGGGGCTGCCTGGGGATCATGTCTTCCAAGAAGAACAGAAAGCGGTTGAGCCAAAGCGCGGATCATGGTTCGCCCTCGCTCGCTGCTGCTTCCTCTCGTGCGGGAGCCTCGGCTCCTTCTGCTGGCTCAGACTTCGCGGCGGCAGCCGGGACTCTGGTGGTGACCAACTTCCTAGAAAAGGGTAAAGAATTCCGTGAGGGAGACGCGAGGCCGAGGGGGCGCAGCCTGAGGGGGAAAGATCTTGAGGGGAAGAGGCTTTTGAAAGTTTGGCGTGTTATAGGTGTGAGAGCGGCGCGGAAGTATGTAAGGCTTATGTATGTAAGAAGTGTGTGTACTATATATGTAAGTATGCAAATGTAGCCGTGCCTGCATTAGAGAACTTAGGCAGAAATGGTTTATCCGTGTCTTAAGTCGTTCCTTTTGTGAAGTGTTTTGAGTATTTAAGTTGCATTCGAAACAGCTTTATCTTGTTTAAGATTAACGACATATTTAACTGTGCAAAATTGTCCATATTTGGCGAGCATAGGATACGTATACTAAAAATCTAAATACCTAGTTCAGTAAAAATATGGATCTATCCTTCCTAAGAGACATTACTGTGTCTTTAGGAGTGAAGGTGGCTTTTTCTTCTGTTACACAGGTTCTGGTATTTAACAGCCGCAATTAATTACACACTAGTGTTAGTGGTAGGTTAGGTGTGTCACATACTTATTAAATTTTCACAGAAGCTGTGACAAGTAGGTACTTTATAGTAATGTCCATTTTACAGAGGAAGAAAAAATGTGATTCCATTCAGGTTACACAGGTACTAAGTGGCAGAGCCAACATTTGAGTCCAGATGTATTTGACTGCAAAGCCATTATTTTAGATTATATTTTAGTCAGCTCCCCTGACTTAGAGAACGGATTTATATTTGAAAAGTCATTTAGTTGGTAAAGCTTCTAGCATGCTTGATGTCTTGATGATATCTTTGAAAAATGGACCAGACTAAACTAGTGGCAAGATTTTTATGTTTAATCAGACCCCAAAGACAGTCTTAGAGTTCAAATAGTGTTTTCATTCTTCTTTAGGGATTAGAGGACAACTTATTCTTTCCTGCAGATTCATCTTCTTTTTAACTGGATCTTTCCCATTGACATTTAAACATGCTCATTTTTCTTCCACCTGAAAACAAAAGCTCCTCATTTTCTTTTACCACCACCTTATCTCTACCCCTTCATTGCCAAAGTTCTTAATAAATAGAGTGGTCTCTGCCTCCTCCTCACCCACATACTCCTTAGCCTGTTTGTATTTGAGTTTCACCCCATCATTCCTTGGAAGCTGTTCTTGCTGTTGTCATCAAGCATCTCCATGTTGATAAATCTAGTAGGTAGTTTTTGATTACTTACCTTACTTGACCTCAGCAGCTTTTGGCATTGTTGACCATTTCCTTCTCCTTGAAACACTCTACTTCTTGTCTTATGTGTCATCAAACTTAGTTTTTCTCCATCCTTGTTTGGTACTTTGTGATTTTCTTTTGCAGGTTCATCCTGACCATTAGATGTTGCAGTTCCTCAATTCTTAGTCCTAAACCCTCTTTTTCTCTCTCTGAATCTTCTCTTTTTGGCAAATTCACCCAATGCCCAGAGTTTCCCGTATATGGTCCATTCAATATCAGATTTATATTTGTAATTCATACCGAGTCATGATTCAGTTGTCCTTTACATCACTGCTTTTCAAGCTTTCTATGGCAAAGGTTTTTAAAATTTACACTGTCACAGATTGGTACTTTTGTAAAACACAATAAAAATGATTTATTAGAAAAATAAGTTAAAAACCTTTATTAGATTCCACAGATGTAAAATTACTCTGTTAAATTGTAATAAAAGCTTCTGAAGCTAATTTTCATTTTTTTGTACTTAGCTTGTCATGAAGCAGTAGCAGATAGTTTGTGAACCACATTTTAAATAGCACTGTATAATACCTTTTCTCTTACATATCTTAAAGGTATTTCAGGACTGACTTTATGAGCCCATATTTCCTCCAACAAAACAAACTTCAGTTCTGTTCAGTTTTTCCCGTTGCAAGATTCAGAAATCTAGGAGTCATTTATGACACCGCTTTCTGTCACATCTCACATATCCGGCCACCACCAAGTCTTGTTTATCAACTAAATATTTTCCACATCCCTCTTCCTCACACTATTTCTACTGCTTCCACCTTCATTTCAGATGCCATCATCTCTCACCTGGGCTGCTACGATAGCCTTTTAACCAATTTTTCCTGCTTCTAAGTTGCTCCCTTTCCCATTCTGTAGCCAGAATGATCTTTTTAAATTGGAGATTCTGTCATGACCCTCCTTTTCATCCTTCCCTGGGCTCCATTGCTGTCAGAGTAATGGCCAGCATTTTGATGCAGCCTACTTGCCCTAGGTGGTCTTGACCTTTACATGGCCAGCCCCTTTTGTCTCCCACCACTCTGCCTGTATTCTCTCCTGAAGATGCACCATACTCCCTTCTGCCCAGAACCTCTGTACATGCTGTGCTCTTTGCTGAACATTATCTTTTTCTTCTCTTTAAACAAAGATTTCCTACTCTTTCTTCAAATCTGATTTTTCACATTACTTTCTTTGAGAAATTCTCTGATTCTTCCAAATTAGGCCAGATCCTACATGTAGGCTCTCCTAACACTCTTAGTTATTCTTTCATTGTGATAATCTTAGTTTATAATTCTATAGTTACTCAGTGATTGTTTGATGACTCTCTTACCCTACTAGATTATAAACTCTGTGAGGCCCACGATTTGTGAACAAAAGTACCTAGTGAAGCATCTGCCGTCCAGTAGGCATATAGTACATATTTGCTGAATGAATAAATAAAGGGTGGATTGTTGTTTGAAATTACTATCCCGTTAGTTAATCTGGCACTTAAGGTGCTCAATAAATGTGAAAGTAGTTAATGGGAAAGTGAATGTTGAGATATATTTTTAAAGTATTACAGGAGCCAGACATAGTGGCTAACTCCCATAATCCCAGCACTTCGAGAGGCTGAGGCGGAAGGATTGCTTCAGGCTAGGAGTTCAAGACCAGTATGGGCAATATAGCGAGACCCTTGTCTCTACAAGAAAAAAATTTTGCTGGATTGGTGGCATGCACCTATACTCCTAGCTACTCTGGAGGTTGAGGTGGGAAAATCACTTGAGCCCAGGAGTTTGAGGTTACAGCGAGCTGTGATCATGCCACTGAACTTCAACCTGGGCAATAGAGTGAGATCCTGCCTAAAAAAGACCCTTCCTCTAAAAAATAAAAAAAAAATAAAATAAGGTATTAGAGGAATGAGGACTTGTGGGGACAGCTTGGGTGATGAAAGCAAAAAGTGCAATGGTGATATATTGGGAAATAGGGCCAGCAAAGGGGAATTTGTCCGTGATCTCTGTAGACAGGGAGGTGGGTAGGTATTTAGGCAAGCCTGTGATTTGTTAAATTCTGGGGCACAATGAATATTCAGGTTAGAATGGAGGGAGAAGAAGAAGAAAACCTAGAGTCTTGCGAAGGACACGGTCCCCTGGTGAGGTAATTGTCAAGAGGGAAAGGTAGCTCATTGGGGTTTAGGAAGAAAGAGGCAGAAACTGTTCAGCTTCTCCTTTTATGTAGCATGTTCATTTCATTTTATACCCAGTACTGTGCATCTAGCTCTGTGAAATGCTTTGTTTTTCTAGATTTGCTCCTCTGATGACAGAAGGAAAATAAATGTGTTGGGGAGTTATTTTGTAGTGACAGGATTGTGTAAATCAGATGTTCCTCGTGGTTTTGCTTTCATTGATTTCTTTTTTATTACAAAATATGTTTTTCTGATTATTAAGGAACACTAATATTAGGCAAAGCTCTTTGATTATGGTATGTCTGTCTGTAATAAATTTTATAGAAAAGTTTGTGTCAAGTTTAAACTCCCTAAGTGTTTCATAGATTGTGTACTGAAAAGAAAAATATTGTATACTCACCTAATATATTCATTCATTTCATCGATGTTTATTGTATAACTGTTACATTTGCTGTACTGTTAGGCATTAGAGATACAAAGATAAATATGACCCAATACCTGTTCCAAAGCAGCATCCACTTTAGGAAAAAGACTGTAAAACGAGTGGATATTAGAGTAAAAACTAATATCTGGCAGCTCAGGGAGAATCAGAGGAGGGACAACTAACCAAATATGGAGGCTGGTTGGGCAGGGTTTGGGGGTGAGTTGGGAGGGGTGGAGATGTTAGCACATCTTTTCAGAGGTGTCGTCAATTCTGGGCCACTTCAGCCAAATGTTGAAATCACTAATGGTAATTTCAGTCAGTACGTGTTTGTATAAGGAATAAGACTTGTATTATTATCTTTTTCATGTATTCTTGGTAATAGAAGAGTGAAAGATCTGATTACTATTGTATGGGTCAGAAGTAGAAACATAACTTAATCCCCTAGATCCAGATAGATGTGCCAGTTCCCAGTTCAAACCTTTGAATACCAGTAGCTGACTCAACTTAGAATCTGTACTACAGAAGGCTCAGAGACTCTCTACTGCAAATACATTTAGTTCTTAATTAATTGGAGACTTAAAAATAATTAATAAACTAATAATACCCTGTAAAACATCCTCTTTTTGGTTAATACTCATATATCATCAGTAAACCCTCAAAAAGGTCTGGTTTTAAATTTGTTCGTTGGCCAGGTATGGTGGCTCATGCCTGTAATCCAGGCACTTTGGGAGGTGGATATGGGAGGATTGCTTAACCAGGAGTTCAAGACCAGCCTGGGCAATAGTGAGACTCTGTCTCTAACAAAATAATAAAAAAAATTAGCCAGGCATGGTGGTTCATGCCTGTAGTCCCAGCTAATTGGGAGGCTAAGGCAGGAGGATTGCTTGAGCCCAGGAGTTTGAGGTTGCATTGAGCTATAATGACACCATTGTTTTTTGACCTTGTCTCAAAAAAATATTAAAAATGTAACAAAATTAAATTTGTTTGCTAAAATGAGGGTTAGAGCAGTGGTTTCTCCAGAGTATGGTAAGTGCATTCATGTGGTTATATGGATAGAGGATTTTTATTTACTTCAAAAGAAAGCATGCTTTAACTTCAGTTAAAAAATACTACAAAAATAATTTTTGTTTTCTTTTTAATAGATGACAAAATTCCTAAAACATTCCAGAATTCTCTTGTTCATCTTGGACTCAACACTATGAAGTCTGCAAATATATGTATAGGTCGACCAGTGTTGCTTACCAGTTTGAATGGAAAGCAAGAGGTAAGAGTTGTTTTCATTTCCTTAGTTTAGAAATACAAGTTGAACATCCCCAATCCAAAAATCCTAAATCCGAAATGCTCCAAAATCTAGAACTTTTTGAGTGCTGACGTGATGGTCAAAGGAAATGCTCATTGGAACATTTCAGATTTTGGATTTTGAAATGTGGGATTCTCAGTCGGTTAAGTAAAATGCATATATTCTGAAATCCCAAAAAATACAAAATTCCGAACACTTCTGGTTCCAAGCATTTTGGATAAGGGATAGTACTCAACCTATATTTGAGATGTTTCTGCCTTTAATTTTCAACACAAGCGGGAATAAATGAAAAACTATGTTTTAAAAGACATTCACTTGCATATAAACTCACTCTTCCTTTGATGTCTGTGAGTATGCTGGAAATAGTAGCCTTTAAAATGTCATTACATTGAGAGAAGATTTTCCTCAAGAGGTAATGACACATAACTATTGACCCTATTTCTCTTACTTGGTTAGTTGTGTTTCTCTACAGAAATGTTATTGGGGGGTAAGAAGGTCACCTGTTCCGTATAAAAATATTTGATTACTCTCTCTCATTTCAGCTATGTTCCTCCTTGCTGCCAATCTTCATACCTGAGACTCTAAGCCTAGAGCCTTTCCTGGATCATTTGTGGCAGCTTGGTTTTCTTTCCTGCTGCCAGCTCCAGCCTCTGTCATGGCTTCCTCTAATGCTTTTCTGATCCAATGGGGATCCTCTGGAAATGGTTCTGAAATTTTTTGTCTGCTGATGGCATCCCTTCCATTCTTTTTATTGTTCTGGGCTTATACTTTAAAAAAATCTTTACTGTGTCTCGTGGAAGAGAGTGGTATAAATGTGTGAGCTGAAGCCAGAAATTTTTGCTCTTTTCCCTTATCATTTAAATCTGATAAGATCTGGGTTCTCACAAATCTCTTGTGCTGTGTGTCCCTCACTAATTCCTGGATGGAATTTAAGTTCCAGGATGGATTACTTTACAAGTTATCTTGCTTTCAATATTTTTGTCATTTTTTTTCTTATTACCTATTAATGCCTTTGTCTATTTTCCTAAATCTACCTTTTAAATCTTCTGCCATATTCACTGTGGGATCATTCTTGATTTTCACAAAAAGATGTAGTATTTATTTAAAAATTTATTTTTTGCAAACTTGTAGTATTTAATTCTTTTTTTTAATTAATGCAATTTGTCTTGTTGCAACTTGTGTCAGATTATAACTCCTTTGGGTTAAGGACTGTGTTTTGCAAATCCAAGTACTTGGCCGTGCCTTGTATTCTGCCTTATAAATTGATGGTATTGTATGAATATTTACTTTCTGATATTTTTATTTCTTCTCTCTGGGTAGGTCTATACAGCCTGGCCTGTGGCAGGATTTCCTGGAGGCAAGGTTGGCCTGAGTGAAGTGGCACAGAAGAACGTGGGCGTAAGGGTTGGCGATGCCATCTGGGTACAGCCTCTGGTGGGTGCTGTGCTACAGGCTGAGGAAATGGACGTGGCACTGAGGTTTGGCTCTTTTCTTTGGTGACTCTCTGGATCAATTCAATGCTGCCCAATAAAAATATGAGTCACAAATGTAAACCATATATGTAATTTTACATTTTCTTACAGTAAAGAGAAACAAGTGAAAAGAATTATAATAGTATATTTAATCAATATATAAAATTATTTTAACATATAATGATTATAAAAAATTATTAATAAGACATATCCTTTTTTTCAAGCTAAGTCTTCAAAATCCAGTGTGTGTTATACTTATAGCCCCTTGCAATTTGGACTAGCCACATTTTAAACACTCGGTAGCCACGTGGTGAATGGCTAGTGGCTATTTGTGTTGTACTAGACAGCATAAGATAAATTAGGGCTATGTAATTTGTAGACTACTGATTCATTTCCTATGATTAGAGTATGCTTTGATATTTTAGGTGACAGGAATTATTATTGATTAGTATTTAGCAGTAATTTTTATCTTGGCTCACAGTATAATCAGGGCTTCTTATCTTTCTTACAGTTGTAAAGAAAGGAATAGATTACTGTGAGTAGACAAGAAATAAGTCTTAATTAGGATTGTCCAAATAACCAGATTATATATTTTAACACATTGATTATTTAATTTAGTAAAACAGTCATTACGTTCAGATTTTTCAATAATCCTTCACCAAACACTAATTGTTTGAACCAAACTATCAATATGGTTAAAGTATATTGTCCATTCTCTTGGATATTCTATACCTAATAGATTTTTGACTCAGTTTGCATCTATGAGTCTTATCAAGTTGCTTAAAACATCTTGTAATACTTTAATATTACCTTACTATCAATTTTGGGATATGTTGACATTGTCTGCCAGAATCACAGAACATTTTCTAGTCATTAGCTTGATTTTAAAATGTTTTCTTCTCTTTTAATACTTTTGTAGATTCTAAGCTTGAGTTTTGGCATAGTTTTTCCTTTGAAAACAGGATAATGTTTTCAGAACATATAATAATGGTTTATTGAACAATAAAAAGCAGAAAGGAAAAGAGAAGACAACATGATGAGTACCAGCTATATACCAGATGCTTTTTATATATTGTATATATGTACATGCACACACATACACATTTATCCTTTTTCTTCTCTGATGGAGTCCTCTAACATCCTGCAAGGTATCCGTATTTATCCCTTATTTAACAAATGAGGAGATGGGTTAAATGAGAAGTAATTTGCCTACTATTTAGTGAGGTATTAATAGTTAGTTGTACTGCTTATATTAAACCGGATTAATCCTCAGACTGCATTTTAGAACAGTGCTACGGGTAGCAGCAATCAGTTGACTGGAATTAGCATTTATGGTGATCTCCAAACTAGTCTGACTTCTTGAGAGCATAACAATCTTAGGTGAATAATGCCTGCTTATTATAGAGAGGACTGTGTATATTTTAAATGAAAGCCTGGTTTTAAAATTTTTGCTTAAAAAATCTTATGTTTTAAATGAGGCAGCAGTGTGTAGACAAGAAAGTTAATTTCCAATTAGGAAAATCAGTAATTTTAATCTGCTTAAATCCTTTACTTGCAACTGAAAAATTTTATTAGTAGTGTTAGAGCTCCTTCTAGTGGAAATGATTTTATCTGCACCCATACCCATTCTTTTTTATTTTTTTTCTTTTTTGAATTGGGGTCTTGCTCTATTGCTCAGGCTGTAGTGCAGTCATAGCTCACTGCAGCTTCAAATTCCTGGGCTGGGCTCAAGTGATCCTCTTGCCTTAGCCTCCCAAGTAGCTGAGACTATAGGCGTGAGCCACCATACCTGGCTGATTTTTCTAGTTTTTGTAGAGACAATGTCTCACTGTCTTGCTCAGGCTGGTCTTGAACTCCTAGCCTTAGAGATCCTCTCACCTTGGCCTCCCAAAGTGCTGGGATTACAGATGTGAGTAACCGCTCCTAGATGCCCATTCTTTTTTTAAAAAGCAAAACTGGTTAAGTATTTTTATTGTTCTTATTCATCTTTGTAAATGTCTTCTATTCAGTGTAATAAATAAAAGAATTTGAGTATAACTTGATTTATAGTTTTATAAACAGAAGTAAATTTAAGCATTTAAGGAGATACATACAATTTCCTCTTTAGTTTATACATATATTTGATTGTTGAAATTTTTTCTTCTATTTATTTCTTATTTTCCTTTTATATGAATATATAGTTGATTCTCATGATTTGTGGTACTTATGTTCTATTAAAGTTGCCTTGAACACTATTAGCAAATACTGAATGATTTCTCCTATGAGGAAATATGCACATATATATATACATATCTTACATATATTATAAATTATAATCTTACATAAATTATACATAATTATAATCTTACATAAATTATAATCTTAAATCCTCAAAACAACTCATTCTGGTGGATTCTATAATATTTTCTTTATTTTACAAAAGAGGAAGTTCAGAAGTGTTAAGGGACTTGCCTGAGGTGCCCCACTACAGGTGCCAGAGTTGGGTACCCTGTTCAACTGGCCCTGGAGCTGGGGCTTCTTTTACTATATAGTGGTTGCTCTCCTCTATTTACATTCTGTGGTTATCCCTGAGTGAGAACTGAAACAAGGGGCAAAGTGTCACATTGTCCTACCTAAGATGGAATGTGAATGTTGTATGATCCAAAGTTTTTGCTCCTCTTCCATGTTCACTGATGACTGCAAATTATCCTTGAGAATTGATTTTAGAGTACAATACATCTTTGTGAGTAGATGAATTTACAATGAATCATCTACAGAGGATTGACTGTATCATTTTATTACTGATAAAGTGGTTGGAGAAATAAGGTTTAGATTTTGACCAGATGGGCTTGCTAATAAATACACTTTCCCCAGAGCTAAATTATCCCCCTATCCTTTGTCATTGACAAAGTTGGAGAGCTCTTTGTCTTCTCTCCTGAAGTAGGCTGCTTACACATGGGGGAGGAAGAAAAATTCTCATGTTCTGAGAACTTTCCAAGAATGGGTTTCTTTATAAGTGTAGTGATATTTAGGTGTGCTCACTTTCTGCACTTAAACAAGAAACTCTCCTGGAAGTTACAGTTATCATTAGTACGAAGGGGATCTTATTTTTATTAGGCATGCCCTTTCTCCAGAATAAACCTTCATTGTAACCATTATTCTCCTTTTTCCTATTTCTACCTCTTCAGGGAACATACTATAGGATTTAATTTTCTTGAAGAGATAATTTATAAGTTATATAGAAGGAATTAAGTAAATAATTAATAATAGTATTTCTCTAAACTAGGCAAGTTCATAAAAAGAATGATTCATTTAGATCAGTGTTTCCCAAATGCTTTTGACTATGACACATTATAAAAAATACATTTTTTCATCATGATTCACTCATCCACTGATACAGAGCACGTATGTGTGCATGTGTGTATATGTAGTGTAAGAAATTAATATTTTACAAAGCAGTATTCTTCATATGTGCAGTATACTCTGACATTTCTTATTCCATTAAAAAATGTTGGATGGGACTTACTGAAATGATTTCATGACCCTGCTAATGGGTAGTACACTATGTTTTGAAGAATACTGATTTAGGCCGCTAAGGCACCAAATTACAAATGATATTCTCATGGCTATAAGAAGTATCTGAAAAATGTAAATCATTTCAAAATTGTATAAATTATTTTCAGTCTGTAGATTATTCTTTTGGTTAAGTCTGTATTATAACTATGTACATGTTATTTTATACCACAGTTTAGTTTCTGGTGTACCTAATGCTGATTTCTGTCTCCCTCTCTTCCCTTTTACAGTGACAAAGATATGGACATTAATGAAGAAGAACTGACTGGTTGTATCCTGAGAAAACTAGGTGAGACATATTTTAAATTGTTTTCCTACATTTTAAGCAGAAGACAACAGCAAATAAAGTATCTTTGAGGTCTTATATACATAGTAGTTTTTTTCAAAATAGCTTAGAGAATATTCCCCTTAATGAATTAATTTCCTTTTGAGATAGGGATGTGTTATTTTTCCCAGTTAATCGATTGGCAGTTGAGCAGTGGACAGAATATGACTTGTCTATGGATAAAGTCAGTGGTAGAATTGAGACTTTTTAACCCTTACACTCTTCCTTTTTCCAGTGAGAAACATTGTTTTGGAGTATTGGTTCAGGTGTGCCATTTTAGTCTATTGTACGTGGAATGCTTGGCTATTTGTTGATATAGTTAATAGAATCTTAGATCTATTGATTATAGAGGATTTCAAATAATTATCTTGTCCTTCTATCTTCAAATAGTGCTGTATAACAGGGGAATGTTAGGTCCTCTGTTTTTCATGAGAATTACTTTATTAATACTCCATTTTTGATTTAGTACTTTTAGTCAGATAGTTTTGTTAATAGATGAAATAAATTGCTGTTTAAGCATTAAACTGGTGAAAAAATTGTGCTAACATATATATTTAATAAATTGTTTTCTAGATGGCAAGATTATTTTACCAGGCAACTTTCTGTATTGTACATTCTATGGACGACCATGCAAGTTGCAAGTGTTGCGAGTGAAAGGGGCGGATGGCATGATGTTGAAAGGGCCTCAGAATGACTCTGACACTGATGCCCATAGAGCGGCCTCTGAACGGTCAAGCATGGAAACCAGTAGCCTGGATTTATCCTTACAGCTAAGCCAGTTAGATCTGGAAGAGCCCCAGAATCCAGTATCAAGAAGTACTCCTTGTAAACCTGTAGACAACAAACTTATAAAGAAAGCTGGTGATGTTTCATTGGATGTTACACAGAGCCCTAGGGATGGCAGTGGACTTGGACTGGAGGAAGTAACAGGTCTTAAATGTAGTTTTGAGTCTGCCAGAAAAGGAAATAAGCAACTTAAAAATGACGAGAGACTGCTAAAATCCACCAACATGGGAGCAAAGTGCAATACGGATACTTTTTATTTTATTTCTTCAACAACAAGAGTCCGTTTTATAAAGACTCGTACAAACTCAAAAGAGCAAGATAACCAATTCAGAGTAACTTACGACATGATAGGAGGCTTAAATAGTCAGCTGAAAGTAATTAGAGAAATGATTGAATTGCCTCTCAAACAGCCCAGACTTTTCAAGAGTTATGGTATGATTTCTTATTTTATTGCATCTGAAAGTGTTAAATTTAAACTAAAAAACAGTTGGTCAATTCCATTTATCTAATGGTTGCTTACGTTCTTTTCCTTTTATATTTCTCAAGTGGTAGGTATGGTAGAAGATACCAGTTGCTGTGGGAAATGCCTGCTAAATTAGCCATTTTGTGTGCTTTGGTCTCTTTAGGTTATAATTTAAGTTAGTGATAGCCTTGTCTCTTTTAGTAGCATATTTCCATAGTTGCTTATATTAGGTCTGCAATAAATGTCTTGTCATACTAGATTAACTGTAATGACTAAAGAAATAAACTACTCAAATACATTGGATAAAACTTTTTTGTTAGAAAATGTAGCTGTGTGCAGATCTTTGCATTGAAGCAAGTAGTTAAAGGAGTAGCTTGACTATCAGGAAGCTCAGGGCTTCCTTTGTGTAGTTTTTGTGCACATCCTTTGCATATATTTGCTATATGCTATCTCTCTGCTTTTTCCTTTTTCATAAGTCTTTTTATATATAAAATGAACCCTCGGATTGACATTTTGCTAGTAAAGTTTATAATCTTCCAGATGGCTAGTGGGGAGGAAATTGGGATTGGTGGCTTATTTTTGTCTGTCCATGTTGGCTGGCTTTGTTTTCTGATCATTAAACAGTACTGTGTGGGATGGGGCATGACAACAATGTGGGTGTCCAGGTTTTTACAACATGCTTCCTCGTGGCTATTATGTGGTCTACAGAGAGAAAAATTCATTGCTGGGGATCAGTGCTTGGGCTAGTTAGTACATCTTTTTTTGGGGAAAAAAAGTCTAACTGTTTTTTGTGATGCAAGGTAAATTTACATTTTATAACTTGTATTTGAAGTTATATGGCATCATTTATAAGAAATCTAGTAATGCTGAATCCAGTGTTCTCTTCTTTTTCTGCTAGGAATTCCTGCCCCTAGAGGAGTGTTACTCTATGGCCCTCCAGGTACTGGAAAGACAATGATTGCCAGGGCTGTTGCTAACGAAGTTGGAGCCTATGTATCTGTAATTAATGGTCCTGAAATTATAAGCAAGTAGGTATTTAATAAACTTAAAATTATTAAATATACTTCTCAAATGTGGTTTTTAAAAATGGCTGGGTGGTATTCTGTCTGAATATTTCATACACTGAAATATTTTAAATTTATTCTTTAATATGTATTAAAATTAAGTTTAGAAAATAACTTTTTAAAGTAATTTTAAGTATCTAGAAATATTTGAAAAGTCATATTAGCTTTTATAGACAAAGCTTTAAAAACAATAAGAAATCCTTAAATGTATTTTATTTTTTGCAGATTCTATGGTGAGACTGAAGCAAGGTTACGTCAGATATTTGCTGAAGCCACTCTACGGTACTCTTATTTTTAAATGTTTTGGAATTAATAGTCAAGTCTGTGTTAATCAAAGTGAGATAATAGCACTTCGTAGAAAGCATAAAGAATAGTACAAAAATAATAGTACTAGCACTGGAAATAGATTGTAAATCTAATGAAATTCTGTCTACTCTTTATGTATAATATTATTTTAGAAGTCTGATAAATGAGTTACTAAGTTACATAAATTAGAAGAATTAAGACAGTCATTTGATAAGCCCTGTGACCTTGCTTGAGCATATAAGTCTTTGATTTTGTTTCTTTGGGGTATTTAGGCATATCCAGTATATTTAGTTCCCCTGGTAGATTGTATTATCATAGCCCTTTATGCTTAAAATTTTTTACATTATACTTTGCTTCAATGATACAAATCCTTTGCTTGTTAAAAACTGTTCTTATTGATTATTCCTGAGTTTAGGTTACACTGTTACATTGTAATGGATATTAGAGTATGATCTATAACTTGGTCTAATATAATATTATTCATAATATAGCCATGTCTCTACCATTGTTTTGGTATTTAGTATCATGATTACTGCTCTTTAAAGATTCCCCTCCCAGTGATAGTAGATAAAATGAGTAGTTTGTAGTCCCAGTACTATACTGAAAATTTGAGAACCAGTGGTATACCTTATTGTTTTAGTATGTTTTTTTTTTTTTTTTTTTTTTTTTTTTGAGACAGAGTCTCGCTTTGTTGTCCAGGCTAGAGTGAGTGCCGTGGCGTCAGCCTAGCTCACAGCAACCTCAAACTCCTGGGCTTGAGTGATCCTTCTGCCTCAGCCTCCCGAGTAGCTGGGACTACAGGCATGCGCCACCATGCCCGGCTAATTTTTTATATATATATCAGTTGGCCAATTAATTTCTTTCTATTTATAGTAGAGACGGGGTCTCGCTCTTGCTCAGGCTGGTTTTGAACTCAATCCGCCCGCCTCGGCCTCCCAAGAGCTAGGATTACAGGCGTGAGCCACAGCGCCCGGCCTGTTTTAGTATGTTTTGATTGTTAATTTGTTTATGGCAGTTGAAGTTTCCATTTCTAAGAGAATTCACATCTTTTTATGAGAGAATTGATCATCTTGAATCTTTTTTTAAATAGGTTAAGAAAACATTTCTAGTTATGTCTTTTGGACTTTAAATCTGCTCCAAGGGACAATATTTTTGGCCTCAGTTTTTGAATTCACCCAGTCATAACAATTTAGTGGACATTAGTGGGAAAGTTCTGCCAGGGCATGGTATTTCATCTCATGGGCAATAGATTCTTCTAAATAGTCTACCTTTTAATTAAGGGCAGATAGACTAGAATGTGAGGTTGGTAAGTTAATAATTTGAGGTAGAATTAATCTAAAGTTTTTTAGCTTAACATTCTAATGCCTTTTGTAATAATATTATTATTATTATAATCCTAAATTTGATATGTTGCATTTCAGTTAAAAAATTAAAACTAAGTATAATTTAAAACTAAATGTAAATTAGGGATTTCATTTTGTTTTTTGCTTTTAGGCACCCATCAATTATTTTTATTGATGAGCTGGATGCACTTTGCCCTAAAAGAGAGGGGGCTCAGAATGAAGTGGAAAAAAGAGTTGTAGCTTCACTCTTAACACTAATGGATGGCATTGGTTCAGTAAGTAGAGCAATAGTATTGATTCTGTGTGGGAAAGGGTTGGAGGGGTGGATTTTTTTTTTTTTTTAAGACAGAGTCTTGCTCTGTTGCCCAGGCTAGAGTGCAGTGGCATCATCATAGCTCACTGCAATCTCTAACTCCTGGCTCAAGGGATCCTCCTGCCTCAGCCTCCAGAGTAGCTGGAACTACAGGTGCTCACCACCACGCCTGGGTAATTTTTTTTCCTTTTTGTAGAGATGGGCTTCACTATGTTGCCTAGGCTGGTCCTGAACTGCTGGCCTCAAGCCATCCTCCCACCTTAGCCTCCCTAAGTGTTGGGATTACAGGTGTAAGCCACCATGCCCAGCTAGTTGATTCTTATTAGTATATTAATATATGTAGAGTCCAAAACTATTGAATGTGTCTGAGTCTTTGGGGGTATTCTAGGAAAAAGGAAAAATATTAGCCATAACAACTAAACGAGAGACCCATGAAATAATTAGCTTCAGTAGATTCTTTAGTATTTTGTAATGGATAGGATGGCATCATAACCTGGCATTTCTTTTATGGCATATAAAATAATGTATTGTGATAGATTTCTTTTGTGATAAATGCTATTAACTTAAAAACCTGAAGCAAAGATCAGTAAGGAAGAGTCAGTGGTTAAATTTTCAGTGATTTCATTAAGAAATTTCATGAGTCTTACTGCTCATGTAAAAATTGATTCAAGGCTTTGTGCTAGGCAAGTGAAAGGAAAGAAAATGAAAATAATGGAAAATGTGTAGAATGTTTGAAAAGAATTTACTCATATTACCAGATTCTATGATAGGTATACATTCTTGTATTAATAAAAAGACTGTATGCTAATTATGAAAGGAGGATACATAGGACTAATAGAATAGCAATAAAAAAAATCCTCTCAGACTCTTGACATCCATTAACCAAAAAAATACACTTTTTATTCTGGATTGTAAATAACTAAAGAATATTAGAAGCATAATATGTTAGAACCAAAAAAAATTTTAGAAATTTTAGAAATCATATAGTCCTAAGTCCCTTGTGCACATTAAAAAACTGGACAATTAGAACTTTTTGGGTTTTACTGTCTAGTGGTAGAAATTAAATATGTGATAATAATATGAAGGTTTGTTATTAAGTCTGTTATTTCTAATGTGTTGATAATTTTAAGGGTCTGCAGGAGAAAGGTTGTCACCTGGTGGAGGCTGGATGACCACCTGATTCTCAGTCCTGGGGCAGTACCAAAGTATGAATGTCATGTCCCAGGCTTGGTTCTCAGCTTATAAATTTGGAGAATGTAATGTTGTTAATATGTTGGAGGTGGTGGAGCTCTGAGGACTGACCCATGATAACAACATATAGGATACCATTTTGAATATAGGATACCATTTTGTCCATTTATAATACAATAAGAAATGTAACTATTAAGTGGACCAACTATTTGTTTATGGATGACTATATTTTCACCTTGAAGATAGATATATCTATAATATAGTAAAGCAGTATTATAATCAGAAGGGTTCTTGTTGAGTAGGAAATTAGGTAGCAGGCTCAGTGTTGGAGTATTTTAATCACTATGTCAGTTGCCTCTTTGCTTCTGTCTCTCATGGATTGGTGTTCTTGGCTTTGGGCAGGACAGGAATCATGTGACGCTGACGTTTTAGTCTGAAAATATTTAAGGGCCTGTATTTGTGCTTCTAACCTCATAATTCATAGATTCACTGTAGTTCATGCATTTTCCATTGGCACATTCAATATAATTTATTAGGTTTGAGCTTTTTTATGTAAATCACATTCCAATTATGCCTGTCTCTGTGAGATTACACTTGGGTCACCTGAATAAAACATTGGATAATTTCTGTGGGTGGCTGATCATGATCATAGTTCTTTATTATTTGTTGTTCTTAATTTCATTTTCAGAGAGTAAAAATCCATATGTATTCAAGAATGATTGATACTTGGATATTGGTTATATTGTTGTCTGTGTTTTCAGGAATTTAAAAATCTATTAAAAAAGAAAACAGTATGTGAAGAAGAATTCTTAGGCAACTTAGAGCCTTGTTCTATATGTAGGTCATAATCTTTACTTCTAAGTAAGGGAAAAGGACTATTTAAAACAACTAAAAAGAAACAACTATGTGGTAGACTATTATATATTGTTTATGAGAATGATATAGTTTAGGTGATCTGATGAGAGAAATGGCATTTACAATAGATGAAGAAGTAAGTATTAGAAAGCTTTCTAGGGGAGGAAGTGGTTAGGCTGAGCTTTGAAAAATGTGTAATAAAAATAATAAATGTGTAATAAAAATCTATTACTAATAAAAGTAATAGATGGGTAATAAAAGTATAAGGGATAAGTTTTAGTATCCTGTACAGTTAGATTTAGCCTTGTCTATATAGTCAGTGTCAGCCTACTCCCCTCCTTTTTTTTAATCTTTTGGAAAAATATGTAATTTATTTTTATTTTATTTTGTTAGGAAGGAAGTGAAGGACAAGTGTTGGTTCTTGGGGCCACAAATCGCCTGCATGCTTTGGATCCTGCACTCCGAAGACCTGGACGATTTGATAAAGAGATTGAGATTGGCATTCCTAATGCTCAGGACCGGCTAGATATTCTCCAGAAACTGCTTCGAAGGGTACCCCATTTGCTCACTGAATCTGAACTGCTGCAGCTGGCAAATAGTGCTCATGGATATGTTGGAGCAGACTTGAAAGCCTTGTGTAATGAAGCAGGTGAATGTGATTTCCTATAGTGAGTCTATATTGATGGACTTCAGTGTATATACTGATAGTTTATATTTTACTTATTTCTTAATGGAAATAGCTTTATTATTTCTAATTATAAAATATATATTTATTGAAAAAACGTAAATGATTCAAAAAACTATAAATAAGAAATAAGAATCACTCTCAATCCTACCTAAAGAAAGCCACTGTTATCGCATTTACAGTTGACCCTCTGTATATGTGGATTCAACCAACTATAGATTGAAGATGTTTGGGGAAAAAACCACAATCAAAAGTAACAACACAGCAACAAAAAACAATACAGAATATTTTGAAGATTTGTAACAATTTGAAAAACTCTCTTTTTCTTTTCTTTCTTCATTCCTTTCCTTTTTCCTTTTTCTGTTTTTTGGTGGGGGGGTCCTCTCTCTCTCACTCCCTGTTGCCCAGGCAGGATTGCAGTGGCCTCATCATAGCTCAGTACAACCTCAAACTCTTGGGCTCAAGACAGGCTAGTTTTTCTACTTTTGTAGAGATGAAGTCTCACTCTTGCTTAGGCTGGTCTCAGACTCTCCTGTCTTTAAGTGATCCTCCTGCCTTGGCCTCCCAAAGTGCTAGTATTACAGGTGTGTGCACCATACCCGGCCTACCTTTTTCATTTCTGATTGAGGTTATTTGAATCCTTTCTTTTCTGTTACTGGTTAATCTAGCTCACAGTCTGTATGTTCTGTTTATCTTTTTATAGAACCAACTTTTTGTTTCATTGATCCATTGTATTATAATTTTTGACCAACAACTTGAATTTGAGTAAATTATAAACTTGGTTAATAGTGTGACGTAGAAGAAAGCTAACACAACTGTGACTCCGTGAGCATTTAAAACAATACAATTACATGCTAAGTGATATAGAATGTACATAGGTATATCTAACTTACTGAACATACATTGGCATACCCATATGTTATGATGTGTGTATTGAACATTACAAAATTTATTCTATATGGTAAATTTGAATTACTCTTTTAGTTTTAAATAAAAGAATTGAACATTTAATGTTGCATCCTACTTAAATTTAGAAGTATTATTAGGGGATAATTTGAGTGGCCCTCAGTCTTTTAAAATAAATAGCTAGGCAAGTTTGGACTCATACTTTTTTTTTTTTTTTTTGAGACAGAGTCTCGCTTTGTTGCTCAGGCTAGAGTGAGTGCCGTGGTGTCAGCCTAGCTCACAGCAACCTCAAACTCCTGGGCTTAAGCAGTCCTACTGCCTCAGCCTCCCGAGTAGCTGGGACTACAGGCACGTGCCACCATGCCCGGCTAATTTATATTTATATATATTAGTTGGCCAATTAATTTCTTTCTATTTTATAGTAGAGACGGGGTCTCGCTCAGGCTGGTTTTGAACTCCTGACCTTGAGCAATCAGCCCGCCTCGGCCTCCCAAGAGCTAGGATTACAGGCGTGAGCCACAGCGCCCGGCCAACTTTTTTTTTTTTAAACATGCTAAGTTTCCTTGGGCAAATGGAAGCAGTCACAATCATCACATTGACCTTAGATTTACTCATAAAATTAGAATTATTTTTTTAAAAAAGAGTCATGATATCTTAATATTTGGAGGCAATATTAATGATTTGTTGTACAATTATAGGTGCTCAATAAGTATTTTGTCATTTAATTGGAGAAGGATTATCTGAGAAATATATGTAAAAGCTGGGAGGTGTAATTACTACCCCTCACCCTTAGTAGAGGTGAAAAATGTTTATTAACCTTAGAGTTGAGGTTAGTTTTGTTTTTAAATACCTATTGGGATTCTTCCCCCCACCCCCCTTCCCCACATACCCTGGGAAACTCCTGCTTTGTGCTTAGGAAGGAACTCTTAAACTTAAGTAGGAACTCTTCCTACCTTTATAAGTAGCAAAGAACAAGTTATAAGTGCTATGTAATCCTCAAAAATGTAGGGCAGTGAGGCTGCATTGAATAAATGCTGCTACATTTTTAGCATTTACGGTCCATTTTTGCCTTCGTACTGATAGATTTCTTGGCTTTGGCTTTCACTGTGGACTTGAACTAATTTTGTTTAAAACAAATGCTTTTCAGGAGGCATTTTTATTGTTTACCAGTTGTGCTGTGCTTAAGTGGAGTGCTTATGAAAGGCCACTGGCATGTCTGAGTAGTTAAGCCACCTTAACCAGATTTGTGGGTTTGGATGCTAAGAGACTCCATCTTTAGGAGATGGAGAAGAGTATATAAATTAATTCTGTCTCTTTCTATTATTTATTCTCTCCCCTGGCATTAAAATTCATTCACATGTTCTTAATTCAGGACTGATAACTTAGAACAGGGATTCTGAAACTTTATCATGTATCAGAATCACATGATAAACCTGTACAACTTACTAAAGCAGATTGCTGGACCCCACCCTCACAGTTTCTGATTTAGTAGGTCTGAGCTAGTGCCTGAGAATTCAAACAAGTTCTGGGGTGATGCTGCTGCTGCTACTGGTATGGAGACAACTTGAGAGCCATTGACCATTGTTTTTTAACAACAATGAGCATTGTTTTTTAAACAACAGTATGCATCAGACTCACTTGGGAAGCTATATGCACTCACACACATTTTTTTCTCATGTTCGTACACTTAGGCTCACACATTTCCACCTGATAACTTAATTGGTTAAGGGAAGTGGGGAACTGGAATCTGGATGTATAATGTTTCCCAAGTGATTTTTGAAGTAGCCAGTCTTGTATTTGCCTGTGAGCAGGCATTTGAGTCATTGATTTAGGTGAGTGGTTCTCCAGCTTAAACATATGTTAGGAATCACTTGTAGAGCTTGTTAAAACACAGTTCTGGGCTGTATTCTGATTCAGTAGGTGTAGGTGGGGCCCAAGAATTTGCATTTCTAACAAGCTTGCAGGTGATGTCAGTGTTGCTGGTCCAAGTACTACACTTTGGAACCAGTGATTTAGGCCAACTACCCGATTTGAAGATTCTCTGTAACTTACTTAAATAACTGGATTAAATTTAAGTATTGTAATTCTTTGACTACCTCTAATAGTGTTGAGTTTCTTCCCGGAGTTTTTATGTGATAGTAATGTACTATTCAAAAGTACATCATCTAACCATCCCACTCAAGGGAAAATGAATGTCCAAATTTGTCTTGCAAGTATGTATAATGGTTCCGAATAAAACTTAAAACGGCAAATAATTCTGAAAGATAGAAAAACCACAAGTAAGGAAACAGTTAAAAATTAACAATTAAGAATACAAATAAGAACCCAGACATATGTTTTTTCTAGAACATTTGCTTGCTTATGATTTGTGGACCTGTGTATTCATTGTGCTTTTTGTGTGTTGTGTCTCTGATGGTTTTCCCGCTTCCTGGACTGCCGTGTAGTGGAGGAAGCTCTGCCCTTTTAAACAAAAGATGCACAAATGTCTAATGATAGCATGAATTGAAGTGATCGAAAATTTTATAAAACATAGTGAACTATGCTTTCTAATTGTTTTTGTAATCCAAAGGTTATTATTTGTGGGATACTATTTAATAATACTAAATCCTTGCAGTGTTTATGTAGATTGTGTATGCTTTTCCAGAGGATAGAAACGTACAGTTTATTCCATAGTTTGTAAGAGTGATACTGTATCTTTTAGAGTGTGCTTACTCTAAGCTTTTCTAATCTTTTATGTGTTATTAAATATTTTCCATATCTTTTAACTTTATTCCCATAATGAATATGAAAGTTGGAAATAGTACAGTAGTTAGTGTTGCTTTCAACACTTGGATCTCCTATTATCTGAGCAGATATAACGTTTAATGTTTATGATTGGATATGAATCTTATTTTCAAATGTTATGTTTTCTTTTTAATTTTTGAGCTAGAGTGTGGTTTGATATGTCATGACTTATTCAAAGACCTAATGTTTTATAGTTCACCTTTTTAAGCAAAGAGCAGCTGTATTTTGAAATGTTTTATCTCAAGCAGACAAGTTGTTTACAAGCTTGACTCTAACACATCCTGACATTTAATGTCTATGTTTGTATTCCTCCTGGGATTAGGCTGCCTTTCTAATTAATTAGTTGCATCGCCTTTTATTAATTCTCTCAAAATTTATAATGTTTTAAATTACTAACATAGATAAGCATACTGCACTTTTTTGGAAAAACATGAAATGTTAATTATGTAGCAGTGACATGAATTATATAAACTCTGTTGAATGTTAGAAGATGCTTAGCAACAATGTTTTCCAAATACAGGGATTTATTATAAACTTATCCTTCTAAGGCTGCCTGTGCCATTTCAGGAGAGTGAATATAAATAGAGCTTGATTTCTTCAAGAAGTGGACTCAGTCATTTTGTTTACAGTGAAAGGAAGTATTTGCTTCACATCTCTAAGAATTTATCTTTAGCATCCTTGTTGATTACACATCATTTCAACATGTTCATGCCAAATTCTTGGTCCCTGATAAGATAGCATCACAGAACAGGAATAATTAAAACTCTTACTTAAATAATGATTTTTGTCATTATAGCACTTTAAATAGGTCTAGTAACAATTCTGAATCTAATTACTGTAACTTTTTTTGAGATGGAAAATTTTATGTTTTGTCTAGAGTTCTGAGTTATTTATAGCTCATTAGTCTTCCCTCCTACTCCTCCTTAGCTTATTTTTATAGGAATTAATGGAGCATCTGCTATGTACATAATAGTCCAGCTTTTATGAAAGGTTCTCTAACTTTGTTACCATTTTTTGAATTCTGCCAATCTCATTTTTTTGTTAAAATATTGATTCTATAAAAATTCAATATTTTTAAATGAAGCCCAGGAAAATAATGGGGTTTACTGGAAAGATTATAGTGAACTCTAGATTCAAATGCATTACACTTTATCAGCTGAGAGACATTGAACAAGCCATTCAACCTCTTGAGTTTTGTTTCCTCACCAGCTAAATAGGGATAACATTATATTGTTTTAAGAGTTTTCATAAGGTTTACAAATATAGCCGGCAGT